AAATTTATTTATGCTTTTTCTGAGGGGTGCAATCATAATTGTCAGACTCGATCCGAACATAGATCCAAATAATAGAACGGATCAATGAGTTAGTAGTTCAATCGGTGACCCAGTGGTTCAATCGGCAGGTAATTGCATAAAAAGCTACAAAAAAATATAAAGTATAATTTTTTTAGGGGAAAAATTAAAATTTTTAATTTATTTTTCACTAATTATTAAAAAAAATTATTTAGTACTAAACTATTTTATTTTCTCATGTATTTATTTTATTGACAAATAACATGTCATAAAAAATAAAAAAATTGCTACGCTAATCCCAAATCGGCATATTTAGACAAAGCCTAGGCATATATATTATTAAAAAAATATTTTCTTANTTTGACAATTTTACCCATCAATTAAAATGTCATTTGAGTTAAAATTAATGTTTCAACGTTGACTAATTATTTGATGGACAAAATGCGTGTAATGGACCAACGTTGTAATTATATATAAAGGTTTGGGACTTCGACCTCAAAAATTAAAGGTTTTGGTGTAATCTGAAACAAAATGAAAGATTTGGGACCAGCGCTGCAATTTTTTCAAGTCAAAATTATTGTTGAAACGTTGACTGATATTTTTATGGATGGAATTAAAGGCTTGGGACNAAGGTTTGTGACCATCGTTGCAATTTTTTCAAATCAAAATTACTGTAGAAACGTTGACTGACGATATTTTGGACGGAATTAAAGGCCTAGGACTGACGCTGCAACTACATATAAAGGTTTGGGTCTTCGATCGTAAAAATAAAAAGTTTGGGCGTAATTTGCAACAAAATGAAAGGTTTGGGACCACGATCGCAATTTTCCCTAGTTTTACTTGTTAACTTTAATTTAAATTTTTAGCTAAATCAAATAGGAGTTAAGCCTGGATGTTCCTTGCATACCAAAATACTCGTGGTTAATAGGCATCCTTATTTATGCTCCTCATTGATTGCCATACTTTTGAAACTATTTCTTCTATATACTTATTTTCAATCACATATTCACAAAATAAAATATTGTTTACGTAAACCTAAAATTTTTCTTACTATTTAACCACACGTTCTTCTGCAAAACACTATTCAAAA